GGGTGCGGGCGCCTCGTCCTGCAACAGCTCCTTTCTCTTCCGCGGCCGCGGGTCGCCAAGCCCGTACCGAGCTGGCCACGGCCGCTGCGACTGTCCCGGGAAACTTAAAAGCGGTTGAGCCGCAGTGTGCGGAGAGGGGCCGGGAGGCAGAGCGGGTTCTTCCCCCGGCGTTCTGCCTCCAGCGAGGGAGGCGGTATCCTGCCAACAGGGAGACGAGAACTTTGCTTTCGAGCTGTGCGTTCCCGCTGCCTTCCCCCGCGCCTCTGGGTTTCTCCGAGGAGCCAGAGCTGCTGCCACCCTGACGCTGTATCTGCCCTGTAGCAGGGAAGGTTGAACGGCGCTTACTTTCTCACCCACACCCTGTATGGCTCTGAGCTTTTTTCCCCTTTCTCGTCTCCTATTCAGCAATAGAAATCAAGCATTGCGTTTCTCTGTAAATGCAGTTCTTGTGACTATACTTACATTTGTCTGTATGTGAGGAGGGAGTTGTTTCTGTGTTTTTACAAGCCTTTTTTCTGTCTCCAGGATAGTTATCCATTCACAGGAGAAAGAAAACTCTGATCCGGATTATATTCCCATCAACAACCGCTTTAAATGCGTACAAGGTACTGACTCTCCTGGGGTGGACTCTCTTGTGGTGGCAGGAATCCACTGCTGTTTATCGGCAAAACCCAAATTTAGTGGCGTTTCTTGAGCTGCCTCCTGAGCACCCATACAGATTGAATGCTTCCCCGTGAAACTAAAACTCACAGTTTATGGATTCCTGCTTCTTCCCCATCCGAGTGGGTAGACTTTCCATGTCAGCATACAGTTGTGAGGAACTTGGCTCGTTCAGATGAGTGGTGGGCTTGGCATCGTACGGGGCCAGCATGTTCAGCACGTGTCTGCAGTGGCTGACATTCGGTGTCTGCTGATGTCTGTCTGTCTATCTTCTCCATAATGGCAGGAGTTGGGAGCTTTAAGTCTGATTCCTGCATGTTTAGATCAAAACTTCTGTAAGGTCTGGCGAGCTGTCAAGTCCAAAGAGCTACCCATGGAATGGGAAAGAGCTTTAGGCCTTGTCTTGGAAGAACTTAAATGGCAGTGTATGTCCCTGGGGCACATGCTTGTTCAGGAATAAACGCACCTTTTCCTGGATTAGCTTATATGTAATTCAGCGTGGTTCTGCCCATCATTTTTGCTGGGTAGACAAGCTCTGAAGTTCACTGTCAGGTTGGTGTTTCCCAAAGGAGCTACACTGTTGTGGAACAAACCATCCAGAACAAACCATGTGCGAGAACCCTGAATATTAGGAATCTCCCCTGTGACACTTTGATTGTGGGAAATACTGTCCAGGCTGTCCAGATATGACCATTCTTTCTGCCGGAGCCATTATTGATAGTATAGATGTAAATTAAAGCTGTTTGTTCCTTTGTTAGGACTCTCTTGTGGCTAGTAGCAGGCAGCATGCTTTTTTAAGTACTCAATTATCGCAGCATTCCGTGTGAACTCTCTTGATCCTGTTTTTCTCTTTTCCAGAGGCAGAAGAAACTCTACTGATTGATATAGCTACAAACAGTAAGTTTTATAACTGCAGCTGCGCGGCTAAAGCTCCTTTCAGGAAACAGGCTGCCTGTTGGGCACCGACGCGTGCTTATTTTACCTACCACTTCATAACTTCCTCCATACTTTGTGTTTGTCTTTTGATCAAGCGGGGATTGTATCTCCTCTAATAATGTTGTCTGGCTCTTTTAGACAGTCAGTTGTCATGACAGACATGGTCTTAAATGCCCAGACTGAAGTATTGGCAATTGGTCAAACTTTAACTCCTTAAATCTTTTCTCAAGGCCCTGCGTTGCACCCTGAACACTGAACCATTCTCATCTCCCTTACGTTTCTTTGACCTGTACTTGAGCCTAGGTTACTATCTGCCTTTTTCAGTGTTGACAACGCTCTGTGTAGTCACCAATTCTGCTTTCCCTTTCAAGAAATTTTTCTTGCTACTTTTAGAGCTCTTCTCTGCGAGATCACAGTAGGGAGAAGTATTCCTAAATCCAGGAAAACATGACTGGTGATACCCCAGGCAGGGGGTTGGATCTCAGAAGCACAGGGAGACTAGCTTAGGTACAGATTTCCACCGGAAACAATAGCTGGAAGTTGGCTTTCACTGATGAGCTCAAAGGATACCTAGAAAGCCTGGTCACTCTCAGGGCATAATATCTGTGAACCAGCCTTGACTGACTCTATGAGTCTGTGTTTATGCATGAAGCAGGCTGTAAGGTCCGGATACAAGGTGACGAGACAGCGGAGCGGCTGTTTGAAATCCCTGATGAGGAGCGTTGCTTAGGATTCCTTTCAGAAGTGCAGAGCATACAGGAAGGTAAGCAGAGCTGTAGTTGTGTTTGTGAAATCCTCTGACTGCCAGCAGTTTCTGACAGGGCTGATTTTTTTCCAGCCCACTTGAAAGCTGCTCTTCCTGAACCTAAGGACTCAGCCAGCTGGTATCAGGTGGAGAAGAACCTCCCGGGTCTATCCCAGGCCTCTTCTGCAGGTACTGAGCTGACTGTCGCCTTTGTACGCTCTGTTGTCTGTACAGCAATGGGGCACTCGGGGATAGGGAGCTGTGTCTGACCCTGCACTCAGCAGTCTGGCCTCTGCCCCATTTCCTCACTTCACATCACCCTGCACAAAATAAAACATCTCGGTCCTTGGATTCTGTTGCCCTGGACCTTCTTGAGTGCTGTCTTCTGCCTAGTACCTTTGTTTGTGTATGTTAAGCTCCCTCCTGCCTTGACTTGTGGTTAGTACCCCTTTCTCTCATTCCCTGAGTAATCAGACTTGATATATTGCTATTATCATTTGCTTTTTCACTTTCTATGGAGTTACATTTTTTTCCTTCTTGATCTGAGCTGTTTTAAATTGTTTCTCAGGGCATTGTGCTTGTTTTTTTCATCATAGGAGCTCTGGGGTTTGAGGATGACTTCGACGTTCTAAGCCTGGAAGAGAAAAGAAACATGCAAAACCACCAAACAGGATCTCGCCGGGAACCCCCACCTCCGCCTGTGCCTCAAAACAGGCAGTAAGTAACATGATGGATCTGTTCCCTTTTTTCCTTCTCTTCCTAGACAGCAGAACCAGTTTTAATTCTGCTCTTGCTTCCTTCCTAGATTTCACCGAGAGAGAGAAGGTGCATCAAGAGACCAGCCAAAAGTGACGAACACTATGCGCAAAATGTTTTTGCCCAGCACCCAGTCGGGACAAAGAGAAGGTGTCATCAAACATCTGCTTGCCAAGAGAGAGAAGGCGTATGTCAACCTTCACAACTTCAGGTTAGAGCTGTGACTGAGGAACAGTGTGCATAGAGACAAAGCTGTTTAATCTCTTCTGTGAACTCAAATCTAGCCCAGGCTTGAAATCTGACAGCTGCTGATGTGTGGCCAGCTTCGGTGGCTAAACAAGGGTCCATGCAGACTGAAAGTCAATAAGTGCCTGCCATGCAGCTTCTCCTTTTGTGTCTTTTCCTCTATGTGTGTCAGATCTCTTGACCCTCAAGTAAGACTGAAGCAGTTGGGCAGAAAGAGGATAAAGGCAGCCGTCCCACCACACTATCTTAGTGTTGCCCCACATGACATGATGTTAAAAGAGCCAGATGTTCGCTGGCCCCGGTGAAATGTCTTTAGTTTTGTAGTATTCTGCAAAATCCCCGCGATGACTGTCACTGGAAATGAGCCAAGCCGAGAAGAATTTTCAGTTACCCCATAGTTGGCATGGCCCTGCGCACGGACAGCTCACATGGTGTGTCTGCTCCCAGCCTGAATGCTGCTGTGCGTGCACTGGAGAGACTGGGCTGATGCGGTTGTTATTGTGTTTTCTAACAGTTCGGCTGCTTTTGTGTTGTAGATTTTTTGTGGGAACGTGGAATGTGAACGGGCAGTCTCCAGACAGCAGCTTGGAACCCTGGCTGGTGTGCGACACAGAGCCTCCAGACTTCTATTGCATCGGGTGAGTAGCAATGACCTCGTATTTACTTACGGTGCTGGGTTTCTTGTTGCTCTTGCTTGGATACTGGTGGGCTGTATTTGTTTTAAGTTCCTGTTGTGTTCTCGGAGGTTCCACAAAGCTGAGCTATGTCTCAGAAGAGCTGTCTGAGGGGAAAGAGCCATTTGGATGAGGCAGAGTATCAGGTTAAACGAGGCTGGCATGATGTAACAAAATAGATTTTCCTTGAGGCATCGACAGAGCTCTATGGTTGTCCTCCGCCTAAAGTAATACTTCAGAGGGATGGTTGCTGGAATGTATTGCAGTAGGGTCTCAGAGGCACTGTGGTGAAATTCTGCTGCTTTATTTAGCAAGTGGGAATAAGGAACTTCTCTTCCAAGAAGAGCTGTTGCTACAGGTTGCACATTGGACCTTCTTGTAGAAAGAGGGTGATCTGTAGGAAATCTTTGTGGTGAACGGAGTTAAATCCAGTTG